TTATTGGGAATTGAGACTTAGAAGTTGATATCGACTTGATTGTGTTTCTGGTGTCTGCTGGGATGTGGCTGGTATTCAATCACCACGCTGGAAAAACAGTCATTTCTCTCTTTATCAAGAGTTGAAATCACATCTCAATCATGGACGCCTTTTACAAACTGGGGAATATGGGTGCTAAAACAACTTGAGCATCTTTCCAGCAGCAAGTGGAGCTGCTCAGCAGGGTGTTCACTGGGTTGAGCTCTGCAGGTTGAGGAACTTGGGGTGGGCGCTGCCTTTTAGTCTCCTTTTAGTGTGAGTGGGAAGAAATGTGCCCGCTTTGGCCTCTGCAGGAGTGCTGCCTTCGTGGCACATGGAAATAGGCCTGTGCAGACAGATAAATGCCAGTGTTTGGGGTCGGGAATGATCCTGCTGCCTCTCTGCAGCTGCAAATGGGTCCCTGGGGCTTCCTTTTGTTGGCTCTATGAGGGTGCTTGAGTGCTGGTTTGAGAGGCTATGGGTGTATTTGCTGTGTAGGGCTCGAATATCCATAGGAACAGCTCTATAGGCCTTGGGGGGGCGGGTTATCTGCTTGTGTTTTCTTTGGTGGTCGTTTCTTTTGTTTTCAGCTGCTGGGTACCTGTTGGACCTGCAAAGGAAATAGTGTGGATGAGCTGCTGGTGTTGAGGGTGTTCTGGGATGCAGGATGATGCTCCTTTGAAGAGGGATTTTCTGGATATCACAGAATTTTCTTAAAGCTAGCCAGGAGGAATCCTAAGCGAGCTGCCTCTACCCACCTTGCCTCAGCTAGCATGATCCTTTGGGTGAAAACACTCATTTACACCCTATGGTTTAGCCTGAAAGCTGGAGAGAGGCACAAAGTGGCCACTGTGGTGCTTGGATGCCTGAATTCCAGGCTCGGATGGGCCATAGAGTGGTTTATAGGCCTCCAAAATGTGAGGCAGAGCTGCAGCTTCTAGGAAGCCCCCTCATCACATAGTCCCCCAGCATCGCTCCGTGCCGGAGACGGGCCCTCCGCAAGCAGAGCTCCTCTGGCCTGGCCCCTGGCCCCCAGGTGCACGAGGTGTCTGAGCCCCGACCACGGCTTTGAGCACTGGTGAACCAGGAATAGACCCATCTCACGCCAGATTATCCCCTTAGCGAGCCCTGCGGCTGCACTTCCAGCTCGCAGGACTCGCTGTGAACCCACTAAAAATAGATCTGTATTTAACGCTAGGCTTACACGTGCTCCCTGTCAAGACGCTTTTCATTTTCCTTTCTGGCACTCGCTATTATATTTTGTATTCCTCTAGGTGTTTCCAAGAATTGTAGGCAAAAGTGCTTTTTGGTGGTGCTGCTCTCACAGAGCTAACATGCACGTGCCCTAAACCTTGAAGGATTCACGGGGACACGCAGAGCCGTAGGACTCCCCAAGAACTGCTGCTGGGGCCAGACATCTCTGCTGCCAGGAAATTATTTGGGGAGTGATGCAAACTTTGGTAACTATGGATGTAGGAACCCTTGACTACCAGCCTTATAAATAATCAAGGGGAAAATATCTTGTTGTAGGGAAGGAAGAAGCTGGTGCTGTTTAAGTCATAGCTCCTGTTGAAAGGTTACGCTGGTAGTTCCAGGATGGAAATGCATGGGGATAATCACTGGAGACGGGACTCTGGGGGCAGGGATGGAGGTTCCTCTGCCTCCTGCTGCTTGTGCAGCGGTTTCACCTGCCAGTGACTGCAGCTTGTTCCCCTGTGCACGGATCCTGCTGCCTTGTGCAATGTTGTTGATGCTGAGGTTTGGGCTCTTGTTTTGCTTTGCTTGCTGCTGCGTCTGACACTTGAGAGGGGTTTTATAAGCTGTGAAGAATTTCCTTATTTTTCCAAAAGGGGCCTGTTCTGTCTCCTGGATCTTGTGTTTGATTCTCGAGTGACGTCTTTCCCTGTCAGATGTTTATTCCATCTGAGTGATGAGGGGTGACAGTTTGTGCGGAAGGCATAGCAGAAATGTAACCTATGGAGTTCTTTGATTAGCGGAGGAAAAAAAAATGTGATGGAGCTGCATTGGCTCAGAATTAAAATTGTTTACTCTGTCTCAACATGGTTCGTCACTTTGATCTTTTCTTCCAACTCCTTGTGTTTTCTGTGTGTTTTATCTCAAGTTACGGAGTTCTCACATTGCTGTCCCCTGCCAGGCTAGCGCTAGGGATTCTTATGATCTTCAGGAATCTGGAAAAAGAGAAATCTAGGGTGGATATGATTTAAGAAATTACGTTTATGCCATATGTTGTGGGAGTGCAGAGCAGGGTGACGCAGCGGTGGCTTTTTGTGTGCTGTGGAGCACGAGGGTGGCAGGGCCTGGCCGCGGGGACACTCGTGCCACTGCCTTCCCACCCGGCCTGCGGTGCTTGTCACGGGCCTCGTCTGCATCGGGCCTGGAGGGCTCGCAGCCCCGGGGCTCTTTGCCCGCTGCTCCCCGGTGCCCGCTGCTCCGGGCACGGCCCGGGAGGTGCTGCGAGTTGGGCAGCCCTGGGGCGACCGGCTCCCGAGGGACGCGGAGACTCCCGTCTCCCGCAGCTCGCTGCTTCCTCTCCTCTCATCCATGCAAGTGTCTAGCCCTCTTTTGGGATCCTGCTGAGTTTTTGCTTCCAAAAGTTGAGAAGCAGAGGATTTTAGAGGCTTAAGAGCAAAAAAAATTAAGAGCTGCTTTATTTTTTCCATATATAAGTGATGATTTTGTTCTTCATACGTTATGTGGAAGGATGAGTTGTTACTAAATCCCATACCTTTCTGATGTCTCGTGTTACTCATTTTCTTCCTAATGCAGATCTCCAAATCTTTATCTGGTGTCTCTATCCAGAACTTCTCCCAGTGCTCTGTTGTTGTTGTTCCTTTCTGAATTCTGCCCTTCTCTGACAAGAATCCTGAATTTTACACCTGCTGGTCCTGGGGCTGCGTGCGGATGAAATGGGTGCAGTGTTTCAAGGAAGCGGCACTGCTGGGCCGTGTAGTTTTGCCACAGTGTTTTTGTCCTCATCAAGATGCTGCGTGGAGATGTGGAAGGTGCCTGAGGGCAGAGCGGGCTGCCCCTCAGTTCTGGAGGCCGCGTGCGGTACCGGCCCAGCCTGATGCGGCCCCAAGTCTGGTAAAGCTGCCGCTGACTTCCATGTTATAGGGTCAGGGCCAAATTCTGCTGTTTTTCTCTCTGTGTTTGTCGTTTAGTTAATTGGGTAAGAAGAAGGTAAGCCCTGTGTAACGCTTACTGTAATCTCATTTTGAGATAGCCTGAATTTTTTTATTGCGTCTTTTGTAGGTAAATAACTTAAGAGGCGCATTACTGGATTTGAACCCCAGCTTATGGAGTAATTCTATGAATGTAGAAATAAATTCTGTCCTGACATCTGGTGTTTCTGTCCCATCAGGTGCTGGAAAACTACTCTGATGCTCCCATGACCCCAAAACAGATTCTGCAGGTCATCGAGGCTGAAGGCCTGAAGGAAATGAGGTTAGTATTGATCCCGCTGCCTGGAGCGTGGGGGAGGCGTGTGGAGAGGCTTGGGCTGCTTCGTGCCGTTCTGCCTCTCATCTCCAACCCACTTCTTTGCTTCCTTTTTTATTTTTCTCTCTCCTTTCCAGCAAAGTGATTTGGGATGACAGTACGTGCTGCCTGATTATCCTTGACAATAACTGGAATCTTTTATCGGATTTTTTAATTGTATGCAGAAACCCCTTTATCCATTTAGTGTAAAATAAATGCCTTGCAGATCCGACTCCTGCATTGTGTTATACCACTTTTGTGCTTCTCTTGTAAGTAGCTCCCAGTAGCTTCCACTAATGTGGTTCTAGTTCACTAACGGTTTCCGTTCCCTCCCCACCTATTACTTCATTTCTAGAGCAGCTGTTACCTTTGGGGAGAGCAAAGAAAGTGCCTTTAGTTTGCATTAGCATTAGCGTGCTGGCCTCTGCTTACATTCTAGAGCGCTGTAGCAGCGTGGCCATTGCTGTTGTGGCTCAATGCCTGTACGGAGGAAACGTTTCTCACCTGCAAAAGGACCTGCTAGGAAACCTAGGACACAGCAGAAAGGAAGGCTGTTTTCCATGCTTAAGTTCCTGTGAATTTCCATCTGTTTCTGGGACTGGGTGGAAGGGAAACAGAAAGCGTCTTGCAGATCAAACACGTGGGTAGCTGATGGTGTAAGTGTCTCAGGGCTGTGTGATTAAAAAGAAATGAGTTAGACTGTCAGCACAGAAGCAGGGGCCCTGGCCCGCGCACACTGCCTGTTCGTTGCCCAACCCATTTGCTCCCTCACCCTGCTTTTGTGAGCATCGACGTGGCTGCAGGCGCTAATCTTGATTTCCTCTGGGCCCTCGCTCAGAGCGGTGACTTGGTTCTGCTTCGCGTTGGTCTCTGAAGCGAGGAAGCAGCTGTGGTGCTGGGACAGCGAGTGACACCATGACGAGATGGGGTTGAAGCGGAGGAGCTCCCGTGGCCAGAGAGGGGCCGGTATCGGAGCTGTTAGAACAGCCTGCTTGTTCCTTGGGATTTTTACCATGTGAACCCTTAGCAGGACGGCTGTGGGCGGTGGTTTCACAGCTCCGAGCTGGTTTCAGATGGGTTTTAACAGAAACCTTTGTGCACCTTTTGACCTTATTCAGTATTCTGCATCTTTCTCTTCTCAGTCCCGTCCCATCATAACTGCTGTTGCACTAGCAGATAGCTAAAGATCTGCATGAATAGGCTGTCCTTACTGTAAAGGTCCTAGCAGGTCTCTCTCCATGTGTTAAATTTTCTTGGTGTTTTCCCTGCTTGACGAGTGGTTTGTCCCAATAGATGACTGAAAACCTGACTTTGCAGTATGTGTAAACATAAATCCCCTAAAGCTAAATTGTTTGTTTAGAGGTCCATGTTCTTCCCCTAGATTATCTGCTTTTGCTTTCCCTGTTATTAATTTGTCCCTGTAAGAAAAGTTTGCTTTCTTCAGAGCGTAGTTGTCCGCAGAGCACAGGCCATGGCCACATTTAGTTAAACACATGGCAGATTTTGTTGGTTCTAGTATAGAAGAGCTTCCTGAGGCTCTATTTCCTGAAGGAAATAACTTGGCAACGGAAGGGATGGTTTCCCTTGGAACTGATGCTCAGCCAGGGTTGTCCTGCCCAAGTGCTGGTCCCCAGGGAAGGGATATGGTCCCATGTGCCCTATGCCTGAGCCAGGTCATTTGTCCCCAGCCCCATTGCTGAGTTCTGGCTCATAGGAACGTTTTGACTGTTTGCTCTTTGCTGTCGTTTCAGAGGAAGCTCTTTGCTTTCATTGTAAAAAAGATACAGCTAATATTTTGTCTGTGGTCGATGTTGGTGAAGAAATGTCCCAAAAGCAAATGCCTTCAGGGTGGAAACAAGTTCTAAGTCCAGTTCTCAATCTGAGAAATGCTGCTCTTTGAAATGCTTGGTCTCGAGCTGGTTTTCAGTTTCACTTTTAATAATGAGCTCGATATTGCTTTAATGTCTTTTCCAAGTAACTAGATGTGTGCGTATATGACTTACTGGAAAACCTGGGATTACGTGGCACGTCTGTCAGGGTGGGTGTAGGACGGCTGCCTTGATCACAAGTGGCAGAACCGAGGGGTTAGCTGGGACGTGCTGAATTAGCACCAGAACTTTTCTATCCACATCAGCTAGGGCAGTTTTGATTGTGACATACTGAGGAAGAGATGTTCTAGAAACACGTAGGTGTGCAAGTTTTTGCTTTCTCTGCACCTTTACACTGCTACTACTTTGTACTATATATTATATATTTTTTAGTAAAAATGAATCCAACTCCAAAGAATTCCAGCAATGAAAGGGAGGAAAGACGTACCAAAAGTTAGAAACATCTAAGAATGACCTAGAGTGACTTCTCGAGTTAGCACAACGCTTCCTGTTTTCTGCAGGCTGTAATGTGTTAAGGTGTACAGGTCAAGAAGGAAAGCAGTTCTGTTCTGACCCAAGTACCTGCCTGTGAAGTTGATGAGCATCATTGTGCTGCCTTCAGTCAGCTGAGGGATGCCAATTTAAACAGTTCTTTGAGGTTGCTTTCTTCATAAGACCTTTTTCTCCCCTTGAAATCACCATCTGCCCCCTGTTCTGCCCCTCTCTGTTGCAGTGGCACGTCTCCGCTCGCCTGCCTCAATGCCATGCTCCACTCCAACTCCCGGGGAGGCGATGGGCTCTTCTACAAGCTGCCTGGACGCATCAGCCTCTTCACACTCAAGGTACATTTCGAGTTCCTGCCCTCGATTGAGGGCTAAGGTGCGAGTTCTGCTTTTGTGTGTAGCTGAGTGTTAAACCGTCACTGAACGTCGTGTGAGCTGAACATGCTGCGTGTGAGATCATCGTGTGGAAGAGTGTCTGGAATTCATTGTTGTGTTTTAGCGTGCACCTTTCAGCTGTACCCAATTTCTTTTTTTACAAAAACCTATTGTTTAAATCACGGAAGCAAGATAAACCCTCTTATTTCAGTCCTTGTTGTTCAGTTGAGGTGGCTGTTTAACAGAATAGTCCTGTTTGCTCCCTTTCCACCAACCGCAGGGCAACACAGTCAACCGGTAAATTATACCAGCTTGAAAGCGTGTAGCTACAAATGAAATCTTGTTAGGAAACTGTATATTCATTTTTTCTGGTTGTTTGCTTTGTGTTTCATGGCATTCTGCTTAGAATTGGCGTCACCCTTTTCCACAGACCTCGAGGTCTGCCTGAAATATTTTTCATTCTGGTTTACTGTCCCAGTAATCTTAAATGTTGGAAATGTTTCTGGTCTCAGATTTTGCTTTTGTATTGTTCTGTCCTGCTGGATTCCTTGACATTTGTCTATTAAGCTGATACTTATCTCGGCTATTTCACTTGCACCCTTTTTCTGCTGTCAGCAAATTCAAAGGGAATTGAAATGGATTTGATCGTACAAATAGTAAATACATTTCTCAAGCGTGGTATCTTAGTATCAAGCTGCTCTGATGCCACCTGTCCTTTGGTAGGAATAATTAGACATTTCTTTTTATTAATGAACTTGTGAAACTGTTCAGTGAAAAATAAGCAAGCAATTACTGAGCTTGTTATGGATATATCTGAGTTAGGCATCTAGGAAAGGTCTGTGAAGCATGCTAATAGTGTTGTATTTTTTGTCTGGAAAGCCAGTGTAGATTAACCTAGAACAGAAGCCATCAGCTTCATATATTGGGAGCTCAAGCATCCTTAAAATATCTTTGCGTATCAAATGGATTAAAATAGGGAAGACAAAAAAAGCTGAACTAGAACTGTAGCCGCGGAGCTGCGTGTTCCCTTGGTCTGACGCACGTGACGGGAGGGAGGAATCGTGGTCACTGGTGTTCTGCTTGGCCCCTGTAGAAGGATGCCTTGCAGTGGTCTCGGAACACGTCCGTGCCGGACGGGGAGGAGCTGGAGGACACAGCGGACGCGGAAAGCTGTGAGTCCAATGAAGCAAGCACTGTGAGTGGTGATAATGACGGTAAGTGTCCAACAACACTCGTCTTAAAACGTAAGCATCTGCTTCGGCCTCTGAGGGAGTGCACTCCTCTTCCAGTGTCGCTCGATGAAACCTCCTCTAATGCCTCCTGTTCCACCGAATCCCAAAACAAGGGACACTCCACTGCCAGGGAGAGCTACAGAACAGCCGCACAGGTAGGAAAACTGGGAATGCTGGGAAACGTAAAGCCTCAAGGAGAAGTTTGGTTACAGCGTAATAGTTGGGTGTGAGGAGGGTTAGATGTGTACAAATGCCTTGGGGCTGTGGGGTTGTTTCTTTTACTGCGGTAGAGTGATGATCATATCAGGGAGATGATTTTGAATTTTGTGCTATCAAGGAAGGGTTAATGACTGATACCTGAAGATTCAACGGGGAACAAAGCAGTTCTGTAACTGGGAGAAGATTATCTTGTATCTTGGATTGACATTGTTTGTTTTCTTTTCTTTTTGGACCACAGACAGCCAAACAAAAGAAGAAGACTGGTGTAATGCTGCCACGTGTTGTCTTAACACCACTGAAAGTAAACGGGGCACACATGGAGTCTGCGTCGGGTGAGCAAGTCTTTTGTTTTTGATGTTTCTGTGTGTGTGTTTTGTTTTTAATGACTGCATTTTTTGATCAGTAGTTCCTAGTTATCTGCATAAGCTTACATGAGAAATTCCTCAACGCCTGATGAGAATGCAGATGACTACAGAATTGTGCTTTGGTTAAGGACTAGTTTATCTTGATCAAAACTGGGCAATACCCACTAGCAGTAGATCTGTTATTAGTGGATAACTGTTGTATGCTAAAATCGCTCCCCAAGTTGGGCCTCTACTGTTCTTGACACTTTTTTTTTGTGGAATTGTTTTGCTCTTAGGCTTTGCAGGAAGGCACGCTGACGGAGAGAGCAGCAGCACATCCAGCAGTAGCAGCAGTTCCTTGGCCTTGTGCAAAGCCACCATGCGCAGCAGAACAGAAATAAAAAGGGATCCTCCACAGCTGTTGAGGGGTATCCGAAAGCCCACAGCTGGTAGGTGCTTCTGGTTAAAGTCAGATGAGTAACTGGCTGTAAAAATGGACAGTGCTGATGTCTGAGGGAAGAGTGTCAGAGTTTGCTTCCTTCAGAAGGCAGATGGCAATCTTAGGGCTCTTAGGCCAGACCTTCCTCTCCAAACCATAGTGAGAGAGTTGTCCAGCTCTTGGCCTAATCTGAAGAGCGGTGTCAGGACTGTCAATGTACTTGCAGATGACAGAGTTGTGGCCAACTCTGACCATTTGGTCACTCTAACCGTCAAAATTGTAGAGGTAGCTGTATTATTAAATAGTCTGAGAGCACCTTTCTTCATACTTGGTTACTACAATCTTTTCTCATATATCTTGCTCCTTTTGCTGCAGTATTTGGTGGCGTGGGTTTTATGCCCATAACAGTGACTATTTTTATTAAAAAGTGTTTATTTGCTGGCCTTTAAACTACAGGGCAAATGAAGCGAAACAGGGGTGAGGATATTGACTTTGAAACCCCAGGCTCCATTCTTGTCAACACAAACCTGCGAGCTCTCATAAACTCCAGAACCTTCAATGCACTCCCATCACACTTCCAGCAGCAGCTGCTTTACCTCCTTCCAGAAGTGGACAGACAGGTACGGTGTGCGGCACTCGGTGTTTTCCCTTCGCTGTGGTACCTCTTGCTCTCAGAAGAGCAGGAGCAGATGTGTTCTCTCTGCTACGCTTTTCCTTTCCCCCTTAGGTCGGGGCCGACGGGCTGATGCGTCTCAGTGGCAGTGCTCTGAATAATGAGTTCTTCACCCATGCTGCTCAAAGCTGGAGAGAGCGGCTCGCTGATGGTGAGCAGATTTGCTTTCCTGGCTAGCTGACGAATTAACTTCATGTTTTTACAGTCTTGATGTTTTGTTTTCTTCTACATTTAGTGAATGTGAATGTAGTCCAGTTTTGCAGTGTCTCTGGATATGTTGCTCCCTTCCCACCTTTTAAAATTAAAGATACATTTTTCTTGGGCACTGTGGCATCTTCAGAACACACTGGCAGATGCGTAAAGGAATACTGGACTTACCTTCCTTTAAATGATGACCTCTGCCTAGTAAAATACCATACTCAGACTCACTTGAAGCTGAGTTACTGTTGTCTTTCTGTGGTTGCAGAGAACATAGGGATCCGTACTAGGGTGGAAAGCAGAGCAATAACAGAAAATCTGTCCTTTATATGCATAGCTATTACTGTATATTTTTTTAAAAAAATCCCATTTGCAAAACTGGCTTTATTTGGAACAGTACTTTAGTCTCTGACTTCCCTGTAGGTGAATTCACCCATGAGATGCAAGTTCGAATTAGACAGGAAATGGAAAAGGAAAAGAGAGTGGAACAATGGAAAGAGAAGTTCTTTGAGGACTACTATGGACAAAAGTAAGTAATTTCACCTCGTTGTTCCTGTTTTATTCAAGGTGGGTTTTGGAGTGTGCCTGATCCTTCTATCCTACTAGAAGAAAGAGCATCAATTCCTAAAAAAAAACATGAGTTGTGGAATGAAGTGCTCAGGCTGTTGCTGCAGGAAAATCCTTAGATGAAATTGGCTGGTTTACAATAGGATTTTATAACCCCTCTATTCTTTTTGTTTTCAAGACAAGTTAATATTTTTAACTTTCCATAACAATTTTTTACTCTTTCTCATTTTTCTCATTCCCTGTGACAATAATGCAGGATAGCAAATATACGCGTTATTTCTTTGCAGACTGATTTAATGAGGTTTTGATGAGTGTCTGCTTTGTATCTATGTGCTGCTATGTATAGCAGCGACAGTAGGGCTATAAATAATAGATTATATGCTTCTGGCAGAGTGGACTTTGTCTTTTAACTAGTTTGCGTGTTTGCCCCATAGACTGGGCTTGACCCAGGAAGAATCCCAGGAGCAGAATCTGGTGAAAGAAGATGCCGAGAACAGGACGGGCCTGTCTGCCAAAGGGGCAGCGAGGCTGCCGCGCGGGCCCGCGGCGCGGCAGCGGGACGGGCGCTTCAAGAAGCGTTCCCGGGCGGATCTGCGCTGCAGAGCCCGCCGGAGCCTGTACAAAACACGGGAACCGGAGCAAGCGGAGGACGACAAAGCGACTGCTCCTGTGCTGCCAGCCTCTGCGCCTCATAAAGAGACCAAGCCTGAGGTGGATCTAAAGAAAGACGATCTAACGAGCGCTTCTGCTGCGGTGCCGAAGCCAGAGAGTTCGGAATTGCTTCTCTCCCCAGAGGCTTCCAAATTGCGCGGTAAATCGGAAGATCCGTCGTTGGCAGCTGCAAACAGAATTCCCAGTTTGCCCCAGGAGAACTTAGCTCGGGAGTCCAAGGACCAGAAGAGGAAATGCTTTGAGGAGGCTGCCTCCGCGTCCTTCCCCGAAAAGAAGCCGCGGCTTGAAGATCGTCAGTCCTTTCGTAACACAATTGAAAGTGTTCACCCAGAAAAGCCACAGCCTACTAAAGAGGAGCCAAAAGTCCCACCCATCCGGGTAGGAAAGAAAATTATGGTTGTTCATTATTTTAATTCTGTCATCCTCAGTAGCATCAAAACAATATTAAAATGTCAGGGGTCGTCATCTTTGTGGAGTGAAAGAGTTTCATTGATAGAGCTGGCTAGGTTACTCTAATTGTCTGTCTAAATAAGATAGCAAACAGCAGTAAAGAAAGGAATGGAAAAATCTTTCCAAGGTCTTTGCACAAGAGAATGGGGTAACCTTGGCTTACTCTGTTAGTTTGCATTTCTGTGGAGACGGAAATCACTTTCGGAACTAGCTGACACTTTTCAAGGGAGGCTTTCAAATCATGTACTTGGACCTGTCTGGTTTCCCCAGTGTCCGTTTGCTGGGGTAGAACCTTAGTGTTCTCCTGACTTCTCCCTCCTCGACTAGAGACACCCGTCTCGTTAGCTTTGGGGTCATCCTCTCCATGGGTAGGAGACCATTTTGGTTGCTAAAGATCTGGGTGCAAATTACCCATCTCATATTTATCTGGTAAAACAGCATTGTGTGAGTTCTGTTTGTGATGTGACAGAACACCTAAACAGAGGTTATGGGGATTGTGCACGCTTTTGTGCTAAAACTTGTCTTTTAGTAGGAATTTTGACTTTCTTTGTCATTCTTGTGATGAGAATCACCGTGAACAGGTATGCTGGAGCAGTGGAACTAAACGCTTCTCTCTCTTTCAGATTCAACTTTCACGTATTAAACCACCCTGGGTGGTTAAAGGTCAGCCCGCTTACCAGATATGCCCCAGGATCGTCCCCAGCGCGGAGCCCCGCGGCCGCGGCGGCGCCCGCACCCTCGCAGACATTAAGGCCCGTGCTCTGCAGGCCCGAGCCCAGCGCGA